TGTCCAGCTTTACTCAATTACTTTATCTGTCTGCTTCTGGACTTTGCAGCCTCAGAGTTAATCACTGAAATCTCTGCCAGATAAATGTCTGTGAAATAAAACTCCATAGTTGACATTTGGGGGCGGATTTTCAAAGTGGAGAGGTTCTCTGTTGATTAACAGATTGCACTGAGTTTAAAAAAATTACCTAAGTGACATTTTTAAATCAAGTCATTCAAGATAAATTTTATTACATAATTTTAACAAAATGCATAAATCATCTATCCTGGCACAGACAAAAGAGTCTCTGCTTAAAAACTATCTAAGTGAGATATATACAGTATTTTTTTTTCATTATGAGGGTACTGCTTTCCTAAGTTTATGACCAGCTTGGTGAAAAGCCTTATAATTGCTAAGTGCTACATGACAAATACTGCTCCTTCAGCACATCTTCCTATGAGAAACAGACATTCTTCCCCAGATACTTGCTTCTGATATATAAAACAGATAGTGCAGCAATATATTGGAGATTTCTTGGATGACCTTCCAGTTTTTTCTTTATTGATTTCCTTTCACACTAAGGTCACTGTGATAAACTGCTTCAAATGAATAATATCTACTTAGGAAAAGCAGAGAGCTCAAATAAACCCAATTTGATTCAGAAGAACTATGAAGATGTCAGCTGGAGAAACAATGTGCCTTCTCAACAATAAGATTCATCTTTTCCCAGTACCCTGAGACTGATTTCAAAATGACTTGCTGTGCTTAGCAATGTGAAAATGTTCTGATCCCTGGGAAATAATTTTCTAGGATGCAGGAAATAAATGTGCCCAATAGCTAAGATAATGGACAGTCACCAATTGGTAGTTGTCAGAGCCAAGACTTAAACTGCTTCCAAGAAACTATGAAATTGGCTCTGCACTGATATACAGAAATAGAACTTCATCAACTGAAGAACCAGGATATATAAAAAGAGACTTAGAATCATTCCATTTCATACACTCAGTGATCATGTAAAAATAAAACGTTTCAAGTATTTCTGATGTTTAAAATAAAATATTTCATACCATGTATTAACTACCAATGATGCTTCCTGTTTTTCCTTTGAAGGTACAGGTTTCAAGATGTGCACACACAACACACACATACACACAAACAATATACAAATGGTGACACATCAATGAAGCATTTTCCTGAAAATGCAAGGACCAAGGGAAGTTTCTTGGGGACTCAGACAACCTGTCCTAGAAAACAGGTCTTCATTGGAAAAGGGGTGTTTGTTTCTCACACACAAAAATGTGACAGGAGACCAGGAGTCCAACTTGGGGGTGGGTTGGCTGCTTCCAAGCTCCTGGGAGCCCCAAAAGTGTGTCATTCTGGGAATTCTTCCAGTGGTTCCTCTAAATAAACTGTTCCTTGGGGAGTGTTCATTCTTTCAGACCACTAGCAGTAAATGAAAGAACTCAGTTCTTGAGTGCTGACCATGAGCATGTACCCATTGCCTAAGCTAGTAGCCTAAACATGAGGAGATTTTCCAAAACCCTGCCATACTAATGAGACATTGAGCCAACTAGGTCAGTAAAAGGGCAATTGGTGTGCATTATACTCTTTATTCAAGCAAAATGTTTTTCATTAAGTTAAAAATCTTGGTCCCCAAACCTAGAAGAAATGGACAACTTTCTAAAAAAATACAACCTTCCAAGACTGACCCAGGAAGAAACAAAATCTAAACAGACCAATTACCAGCAAAGAAATTGAATTGGTAATCAAAAAACTACCCAATAACAAAATCCCCAGACCAGATGGATTCACTGCTGAATTTTATCAGACATTTAGAGAAGACATAATACCCATTCTCCTTAAACTTTTTTCCAAAAAATAGAAGAGGGAGGAATACTTCCAAACTCATTCTAAGAAGCCAGCATCACTCTAGTACCAAAACCAGGCAAAGACACCACAAAAAAAGAAAGCTACAGACCAATATTCCTGATGAACATGGATCCAAAAATACTCAGCAAAATATTAGCAAACCAAATTGAAAAATACATTAAGAGGATCATACACCATGATCAAGTGGGATTCATCCCAGGGATGAAAGGATGGTACAACATCCAAAAATCCATCAACATCATCCACTACATCAACAAAAAGAAGGACAAAAACCACATGATCATCTCCATAGATGCTGAAAAAGCATTCAACAAAATTCAACATCCATTCATGAAAAAAACTATCAAAATGGGTACAGAGGGCAAGTACCTCAACATAATAAAGGCCATATATGACAAACCCACAGCCAACATTATACTTAACAGCGAGAAGCTGAAAACTTTTCTTTAAGATTGGGAACAAGGCAAGGATGCCCACTCTCCCCACTTTTATTCAACATAGTTCTGGGGGTCCTAGCCATGGAAATCAGACAACACAAAGAAATAAAAGGCATCCAGATTGGCAAGGAAGAAGTTAAACTGTCCCTGTTTGCAGATGTAATGATACTGTACATAAAAAAAACCCTAAAGAATCCACTCCAAAACTACTAAATCTAATATCTGAGTTCAGCAAAGTTGTGAGATACAAAATTAACACACAGAAATCTGTTGCATTCCTGTACACTAACAGAAAGAGAAATCAGGAAAACAATTCCATTCACAATGGAATTGTGCATAAATGCATAAATCATCTATTCTGACACAGAGAAAAGAGTCTCTGCTTAAAAACTATGTAAGTGAGATATACAGTATTCATCAAAAAGAATAAAATACCTAGGAATAAACCTAACCAAGGAAGTGAAAGACCTATACTCTGAAAACTACAAGACACTCTTAAGAGAAATTAAAGAGGTCACTAACAAATGGAAACTCATCCCATGCTCCTGGCTAGGAAGAATTAATATCATCAAAATGGCCATCCTGCCTAACCTACAGCAATTTACAGATTCAATGCAATCCCTATCAAAATACTAACAGCATTCTTCAACAAATGGGACAAATAGTTCTAAAATTCATATGGAACCACAAAAGACCCCGAATAGCCAAAGCAACCCTGAGAGGAAGAATAAAGCAGGGGGGAATCTCGCTTCCCAACTTCAAGCTCTACTACAAAGCCACAGTAATCAACACAATTTTGTACTGGCACAAGAACAGACCCATAGACCAGTGGAACCGAATAGAGTCCAGATATTAACCCAAGCATATATGGTCAATTAATATATGATAAAGGAGGCATGGATATACAATGGGGAAATGACAGCCTCTCCAACAGCTGGTGTTGGCAAAACTGGACAGCCACATGTAAGAGAATGAAACTGGATTACTGTCTAACTCCATGCAGAAAAGTAAACTCGAAATGTATCAAAGACCTGAATGTAAGTCATGGAACCATAAAACTCTTACAAGAAAACATAGGCAAAACTCTCTTGAATATAAACATGAACAACTTCATGAACGTATCTCCACGGGCAAGGGAAACAAAAGCAAAAATGAACAAGTGGGACTATATCAAACTAAAAAGCTTCTGTACATCAAAGGACACCATCAATAGAAAAAAAAGACATCCTACAGTATGGGAGAATATATTCATAAACGACATATCCGATAAGGGGTTGACATCCAAAATATACAAAGAGCTCACACACCTCAACAAACAAAAAGCAAATAATCCAATAAAAAAAATGGGCAGAGGAGCTGAACAGACATTTCTCCAAAGAAGAAACTCAGATGGCCAACAGGCACATAAAAAGATGCTCCACATGGCTAATCATCAGAGAAATGCAAATCAAGACCACATGAGATGGCCACTAGTTAGGATGGCCACCATCCAAAAGACAAACAACAAATGTTGGCAAGGATGTGGAGAAAGGGGAACCCTCCTACACTGCTGGTGGGAACGTAAATTAGTTCAACCATTGTAGAAAGCAGTATGGAGGTTCCTCAAAAAACTCAAAATAGAAATACCATTTGACTCAGGAATTCCACTTCTAGGAATTTACCCTAAGAAAGCAGGATCCCAGTTTGAAAAATACATATGCACCTCTATGTTTATCATAGCACTATTTACATTACCCAAGACATGGAAGCAACCTAAGTGTCCATCAGGAAGATGTGCTGTATATACACAATGGAATATAATTCAGCCATAAGAAGAAAACAAATCCTGCCATTTGCAAAGACGAGGATGGAGTTAGAGGGTGTTATGCTCAGTGAAATAAGCCAGACAGAGAAAGACAAGTATCAAATGATTTCACTCATATGTGGAGTATAAGAGCAAAGAAAAAACTGAAGGAACAAAACAGCAGCAGAATCACAGAACCCAAGAATGGACTAACAGTTACCAAAGGGAAAGGGACTGGGGAAGATGGGTGGGAAAGGAGGGATAAGGACAAAAGGTGGCATTACGATTGGCACATATAATGCAGGAGGAGCACAGGGAAGGCAGTATAGCACAGAGAAGATAAGTAGTGATTCTATAGTATCTTACTATGCTGATGGACAGTGACTGTAATGGGGTGTGTGGTGGGGACTTGAAAACAGGGAAAATCTAGTAACCACAACGCTTGCTGTTCATGTAAGTGTATATTAACAATACCAAAATTTAAAAAAGTGTAAATAAATAAAGTAATGCATACCTCAACTGTTTGTAAAAAAAAAAAAATCTTGTTCCCCAGATTTTAGAAAGCACTTCCCATACTTCAAAGATACTATCTCTCTTGCCCTGTTTCCATCTTCATATACATTGCTTTTCTTTGGGGTGTGACTTCCCAAGTTCCTCAACATTCATCCTGTCCTCTGTTAGAGATCTTAAAACCCTGAACAAAAGCAGAGTGAAAGAATGGATGGGGGCGGGGGAGGGTCAAAAGATAAGAAGTCTTTTACTTAGTCTTTAGCAAGTTAGACTGCAACATCATTTCCTTTGGTGTGTGGATGCTCCCAACATATGCTTACATAGCAGAAAAACATACAGTGCTCAATCCAATTGAGAACCTTCGGCAGAAAACATTTCAATAGAGTGAGAGAATCACAATATTTCTATTCCACTATATTATTTTAAAGTACACTTGACATGTTAAGTGTGTACAAATTCAGAGGTTTAAGAAACTTCAAATGCAAAACAGTTTAGGAAGCCGAAGGCTGTGAATCTCCCTTCTCACTTGATCCACGTTTAGTTTTGCATTCCTCGCAGGTAAGCAGGCAGTGCCTAGAATAGAAGCAAAAATAGAGGTTTGTACTCTGACAATGGAAGCTCTAGTCTTAACATGGTATTTAGAGAGATTTTCTATGGTAAACTTCACAAGACTTTTTTTTTAATAGGGATAACAGGAGCTTTTTCTTGGTATGAGACCTCTATAATTTCATCCTCCCCAAAAGCCAATAATCTTCATGTCCAATGCTATTTTCACAGTATTGCGCTGCCTATCAAATAGAACCCATGGTGACATGTGAGGGTCTTTAGAAAAATGGGTCCCAAACACTAGTCCTGTAATACTATGCTAGAAATAGCTCTTACTTATTGAGCACTTAGTATCATAAATCATTTTTATTCCTTATAACATTCCATAAAAACAATTTGGACCACCATTTTTTACGAAGGAGAAGACTAAAGATCAGAGTTGAATTCAGAAGCCCGTCCAAGATTACATGCCTAGAAAGTAGTAGAACTGGTTTTCACTGTGCAGTACTCTAACAGCAGAGATCATGCATTAACTCCAGAGTTTCACTGCTTATGTTCCCCAATGAGAATCACAATATATATTAACATAGCAAAGGCTCTGAGAATCCTGCAGCAAAGAAACTTATTTGAATTTTGTGTGACCCTGTGACAGTAGAAGCCAATTCTGCTGATTAAGTGTGCTTCAGAGATTTGCCCAAGGCTTTCAATATAGTAAGTACTCACTAAATGTTTGCTGAGCAAATGAAAGAGGTAACTAAGTTAATAATAAATAATTATTAATTGAAGTTGAATAGTAACAACTCAAAATTTGAGGATTAATGAGGTTTCTTTTTCAACATATGGATGTTAAAAAACTTCAATATTATAAATGGTGAATGATCTTTCATTTAACTTTTTATAATTCTACTCATTACAATCCCTCAGTCAGATTACAAACCTGTTATGTCCTGGACCAAAACCAGCCCCACGTAGCTGATCTTCAAAGGAATGGAATTTACTCTGGCATATGCCTATGTATGATGCCTTTCCAAGGCCAAATCCTAGGATACCAGCAACTGTAAAAGCAGGTTAGGAAAGATAGATACTTTAATGGTTCAGAATCTCCTCCATTAATTATCTTCTAGAATTTTCTTTATTAACAATAGCAATTTTTTTGTTAAAAGTATGATGATAAATCAATAAACAAAAACTCTTAGATGAAGGTCCCTTTTAGGAAGCTAATTTGAAGCAGGTTTGGGAACTAGAGACTTTCTGACCTCAGATTTGAACTGGTGTGAGAAGGGCCAGGAAAGAGCAAGCAAAGGTGCTGTCCCAGAGATGGGCAGCCAGAGGGAGGCCCAGCTGGCCAACAAGGGTCTGAGGCTGCCAGGGGAGGGACAGGTGGGCTTGGGTGGTGTCTATGGGTAGCCTGCAAATCACTGGGCAGGAAAACCCCTTAATTCTCTTTATGGACTGGAATATGGGGACCTGTAGTCCATTTGCCTGAGGGGAATGAGGTCATGAGGCAGAGGGAATCTCCTATGGGAAAAATCTCCAACTTGCTCCTCCTTCTGGGAATAAGGCTTCAGACTGTCAACTGGAATACATCTTTGTACATGTCTATGTATAATGAGTGGAAGAAGATGAAATTCCAAGTTTGTGGTAAGTGTATTAGGAGGTCCCTGATTTTATTATGTGTCCATTATAGAAAATATTTTGAAAAGACTGGCCAAAAGGAGGAAATTAAAATCCCTAACAGATCTATCATTCAGAGGCTTGGCTACTGATATCCTCTTGTATATCCTGCCAGTCCCTTCTAGTCTGTGCTCTAAAGAGGACTGCTTAATGTGAAGTCCTTATTGCTCAGCTTTATATCAGAAAGTGCTGACTAGACTAAGTATTGACTGCAAAGTGGCAAAGAATGGACATTGATTTTTCAGAGAGTCAACAGAGGCAATTTGGTTAACCTGGACATCTGTATCTCTGTTGCTCTAAACATTTTCTTTTTAAAAAATGAATCTAACATACCTATGAAACTTGATCTGTGATACACCTTTAAAAAAAAAAGAATCTAACAGCACAAATAAATGGAAAGATATTTCATGCTCATGGACTGGAAGAATTCATATTGTTAAAGTGTCCATCTTACCCAAAGGAATCTACAGATTCAATGCAATTGCTATCAAAATAACTGGTGGCATTTTTTCACAGAACTAGAACATAAAATCCTAAAATGTATATGGAACCAAAAAAGACCCAAATAACCAAAGAAATGTTGAGAAAGAAGAACAAAGCTAGAGATGTCAGGCTTCCTGGTTTCAAACTATACTACAAAGTTTTAGTAACCAAAACAGTATGGCACTGGCACAAAAATAGATACATAGAGAAATGGAAAAGAATAGAGAGCCCAGAAACAAATTTAACACTTATATGGTCAATTAATGTATGACAAAGGAGGCAAGAATATACAATGGGGAAAAGATAGTCTCTTCAATAAATGGTTTTGGGAAAACTGGAAAACAACATGCAAAAGAATGAAATTGGACCACTTTCTTACAGCATACATACAAAAAAAAATAGAAATGGATTAAACACCTCAAATGTAAGTCCTGAAACCATAAAACTCCTAAAAGATAAACATGGGCAGTAAACTCTCAGATATCAGTCTTAGCAACTTTTTCCAGGATATGTCTCCCTAGACAAGGGAACAAAAGCAAAAATAACCAGTGGGATATATCAAACAAAAAAGCTTCCAGTTATAAAATAAATAAGTCACAGGGATAAAAAAACACAGCATAAGGAATACAGTCAATAAGAATGTAATAACTTAGTATGGTGACAGATGGTAACTATACTTATCATTGTGAGCATTTCATAATGTATATAAAAGTTAAATCACTATTCTGTACATCTGAAACAAATATGTTATGTCAGCTATACTTCAACTGAAGCAGAAATGTTTGCCTCTTTTCCCTGATAGTCGTAAGATGTACAAAGACAGTTGTATATGATATGAAAAAAACAGAATCATTTTGTTTTTTGTTTTTTATACTTCTATGACTTACGCACAACTTTAGGCAATGATCCAAATCTTGGATTAGCTGCTAAATAACCTAAGGAGTAATATATAAGTACATTATTACTTCATTTTATAAATTATTTAGATTTAAGAAACCTTCAAAGTTTAAGATATATACAGATTCTCAATCTAAAGAGGTAATCTTACAAGTATTTATAAATCAATTCTTGATTGAATTTGACTCTGAAATAGTCATCTGGGGACGTAGCAAGCATTAGCTTTAACATGTAGAAAAAGAACAGGAAATGGACAAGTCAAAACTGATTTAAAGATATCGAGGCACAGGTGAGGCTTACAATTTAGTTTCAAAAACTAGTTACTAGCTCTGCCTCTTTTTACATAGCTCAACACAGAATTTCAATTCAGAGATCCACAGTCTGTATTTGCCAGTTTTTAAAAATTTTAGTATCATTAATATATAATCACATGAGCAACATTGTGGTTACTTGATTCCTCCAATGATCAAGTCCCCACCACATACTCCATTACAGTCACTGTACATCAGCATAGTAAGATGCTGTAGAGTCACTATTTTTCTTCTCTGTGCTATACTGACTTCCCTGTGCTCCCCTCCCCTATGTCATGTGTGCTAATTGTAATGCTCCTTATTCCCCTTCTCCCTCCCTTTCTCTTTGTAACTATTAGTCCATTTGTGGGTTCTGTGAGTCTGCTGCTGTTTTGTTCCTTCAGTTTTTGCTTTGTTCTTATATTCCACATATGAGTGAAATCATTTGGTACTTGCCTTTCTCCGCCTGGTTTATTTCACTGAACATAATACCCTCTAGCTCCATCCATGTTGTTGCAAATGGTAGGATTTGTTTCTTTCTTAAGGCCGAATAGTATTCCATTGTGTGTGTGTACCACATCTCCTTTACTATTCATCTACTGATGGACACTTAGGTTGCTTCCATTTCTTGGCTATTGTAAATAGTGCTGTGATAAACATAGGGGTGCATATGTCTTTTAGAATCTGGGTTCCTGCATTCTTAGGGTAAATTCCTAGGAGTGGAATTCCTGGGTCAAATGGTGTTTCTATTTTGAGTTTTCTGAGGAACCTGCATACTGCTTTCCATAATGGTTGAACTAGTTTACCTTCTCACCAGCAATGTAGGAGGGTTCCTTTTTCTCCACATACTCGCCAGCATTTGTTGTTTCTAGTCTTTTCTGTGTTGGCCATCCTAACTGGTGTGAAGTGATACCTCATTGTGGTTTTAATTTGCATTTCCCTGATAATTAGCGATGTGGAGCATCTTTTCATGTGCCTGTTGGTCATTTGAATTTCTCCTTTGGAGAAGCATCTGTTCATATCCTCCGCCCATTTTTTAATAGAGTTACTTGCTTTTTGGGTGTTGAGGCATGTGAGTTTTTAATATATTTTGGACGTAACCCCTTGTTGGATATGTCATTTACAAATATATTCTCCCAGACTGTAACATGCCTTTTTGTTCAGCTACCCCAGTTTTTAAATGAAAACATTACAACCTGTGGTAGGTAGAATAATGGTCTCCTAAAGATGGCCACATTCTAGTCCTTGGATATTGTGAATATGCTATGGGTTACATAACAAAGGGAAATTAAGGTAGAAAATGGAATTAAGATTGCTAACCAGACAACTTTAAAATAGGGAGATTATCCTGGATTATTTGGGTGGGACCACTGTAATCATAATCACCGTTGAATGTAGAAAAGATATTCAGAGACAGAACTAGATGGATGATAGTATGAGAGGAACATGGCTCAATGTTCCTGGTTTTGCGGACAGAGGAAGGGGCCAGGAGCCAAGGGATGTGGGTGGGCTCTAGAAGCTAGAAAGGGAAAGGAAGCTCCACACCTCCAGAAAAGGAATAGAGCCCTGCCAACACTTTGATTTCAGCCCAGGGAGACCCAGTTCGGACTTCTGACCTCCAGAACTGTAAGATAATGAATTTACATTGTTTTAAGCCATGATGTTTGAGGTAATTTGTTTTGGCAGCTGTAGAAAGCTAACATACAACTCTGGAAAAGTATATACAAGAGATGGTAGATTTTGAGTAGTTTAACTTATACAACACAATCCCTAAATTTTTTTTATTGTTGTCAGAAATGGTCTGACAAAGGCTTATTACTGACTGATGAATAAACGTCTGTAAAAACACTATCTTCAAGTCACACAAGTGAAATCATATTTAACATATCACCTCTCAGGACAAGAATAATATTGATTGAAGTGGGATTCTCCTAGATATATGACACATGTAGTCTTTGAGACCCAAAAAAGTACTAGAAATCTTCCCTCATATTTGCTGGGTACAAACACTCTTTCTAAGATGCTGGTAATCAGCAGTGTTAAATATAATGGACCTCAACAGAGCGATGTGCCTTCTTGTTATTTGGGGACTATATAATGCCTGGGGTTCTCTGGTGAGATGGAGACAAGGAGAAAGAAGAGAACAAGGCAGGAAGATAGAGAGGAAACTGGGAAACTCTGAGAGGCAAGGAGAGGTTATGTGAGGAGATGCAGGCAGCTGCCAGTCCTCTTGATTTGTTATACAAATTCGGGGCCCTTCCTCAGGCAGATCCAGCCTCTTGCCAGGACACAGGGCTAATGAAGAGTGCTTGGGCAGACTCCAGCCCCACCTCCCTCCTCCCTGGAGCACACCTGTACAGGCCACAGCCTGGCTAACCACATACTGAGCCCCTGGAGACACAGAGACTCTGGTACAGAGAAAGGCACAGCATTAGCTTTCTGTGGCTGCTCTAACAACTACTGCAAACTTATTAGCTTAAAGCAACACGAATTTGTTACATTACAGTTCTGGAGGTCAGAAGTTCAAAATGGGTCTCACTGGGTGCCTTAGTCCCTTTGGGCCACTCTAACAAAATACCACAGACTGGGTAGCTTATAAACAACAGAAATTTGTCACAGTTTTGGAGTCTGAAGTACAAGATCAAGGTGCCAGAAGGTTGGGTGAGGGTCCTCTTTGGGTCATAGACTTCTCATTGTATCCTTATGTGGTGAAACAGGCTAGGGAGCTCTGTGAGGTCTCTTTTACAAGGGCACTAATTCCATTCATGAAGTTTCCACCCTCATGACTGAATCACCTCCCAAAGGCCCCACCTCCTAACCCCATCACACTGGGCATTAGGATTCCAACATGTGACTTTGGAGGGGACACCAACATTCAGAGGATAGCCCTCGGCTAAAATCAAGGCATTGGCATAATTGGACTCCTTTCTGGAGGTGCGAGGATTTCCTGCCTTTCTGGCTTCTAGAGGCCACCCTCCATCATGGACTCATGGTCTCTTGTTCCATCTTCAAAGCCAGTGGTGTTGAGCTAAGCCTTTTGCGAGCTGCCATCTAATTCTGCTTTCTAATCCACTCAATCCCAGTGACCCTTTTGATTACATTGGGCCTATCAGGATAATCCAGAATAATCTGATCTCCCTCTGTTAAGGTCAGCTGATTAATAACTTTCATTCATCTGCAACCTTACTTGCCCTTTGCCGTGTAACCTAATACAACTATTCATTCTAGGGATTAGGACATCTTCAGGAGATGGGGGCACAGGCTGAAAATAGGCAAAAACCTGCATAAATAAATCCTTCACCAAAAAATGAATGCCAGGGGCCAAAAAAGCTGGTGGGAGGGTCACAGAAAACTGGGCTCTCTTAGGTTATATTATTTAACAAATATTGGCTCTTACCTTGGTGGACTAGTCCTTGGGTGACAAGCATGCTTACAAGAGAAAAAGGCAGAGCTGTAAAACAAAAATGCCCCTCAATATCGGTTGTTTTTAAATTTGGCACCTCACCTAGAAGTCAGGGAGAATTACTTTGAGTTTTGTCTCTGACCTACCTGGGCAATGAGTTTTAGGTCATTTGTTATTTTACTTACCCAACAGGATATTTGTTAAGTACCACATGGGGATTTCCTTGGGCTCTGCCCCAGGTGCTCACCCTGAGGGAGGCCCAGCACTATTCAGACAAAACCTAAATCCCTGCCTCTCCACCTCTGACGTCCTGCTCACGGATTGTGCACCACACCCCAGACTCTGATCACCACATACAGACAGGCAGCACTAGCACGACAAGCCGCATGCCCTGTCTAGGGTAGCTCCCTGCTTCTGTCTTTGATGACATTCATTGTACAATTTGGATGTGTCTGTTTTCCGAAGATTTCACGACGGCTACATTCACATTAAGCATGGATGATGTTTAGCTATGATTTTCAAGACAGGCAAGTTAGTCTGGCATAGGCAGTTTCTAGTTCTGTCAAAATGTGTAAAATGGCTTCTTCCAAAAGCAGAGAGCAGTGAAAAACATATAGCTCTTCCTGGCAGCCAAGACAAATGAAATGGCAACCAATTTTTTCACTCATATCTACCCGATGGTAGCTAAATGGTTCATACTGAAATGTTAATCGCTAGGGCTTAATTAAATTTACTCAGGTTGTCAGAAAAAACATGAATTTCTGGTTGCACAATAATCATAGTAATACATAATGAATATCAGTTTCTAAACTGTTAATTCCCAAACAACTAATAGTGAATTTGAATGATTTGAGAAAGCAAAATGAGTATTCCAAAGTGCAAATCATCTCTATTGCAAAACATTGGGACTATACCTATAGGCTCTATTATGGCATTTTTATATGACAAATTGTGAATTTTTTAAATTCAAAGAGACCTTAATACATGGCCTGAATTCATACTGCTGTCTTAGGTAAGGCAAGCCCAGAAAGAGGGTGGAGCTCAGCAGAAAGGTTATTTCAGACATTGTAAGAGAAGAGTTCATGGAAGGCTGTCGCTTTCATTCATTCCACAGATATTTAATAGGTATTTCTGTATGTGAAGCACTGTACTTGGCTCATGAAGCAATGAACCCAATATCATTCTGAGCTCTAAAGGTTAGAGTCTGCTGGCATTTAGGAAGGTCTACTCTCTCAGGAAATTCTAAATAACACTCTGGGTATGTGTTCTCACCCACATGAAGGGAAGTATTGTGTGCATCACTTTTTTGCTATGCAAGGTAAAGTGCTCCTAAATCAGACATTATCTCTGCCCTTAAAAGGGTCCCTACATGGATTTCAACTCTAAACAGCCCCACATACCAAAGTTCTTCAGGGAATTATGTAAAGTTCCTGCTCACAAATACATCATTACCATCATTCTAATATGCTACTTAGGCAGTTTATTGCAGCAGATATGTTAACAAAGATTAAGAGAGGTGCATTTACCTCTCTTCCAGAAACTTTCTTCTTGACATTCCCGGATAATCTTTGAAATCTCTCCTCTATGGATATGCAGTTTTGATTTTGGACAAAACAATAGACTCTGTAAGGAAAGTTATATGGTGAGTTGACTGAAATCACCAGAAAAGCATCTGCTCTGTTTTCTCTGGAGGAGGGCAGCGAGTTCTATTCACCCTGGTCACACAGCATGAGTTCTGTGCAGACTGCCAGCAACAGAGTAATGGCCAGTTTCAGTTAGTGCCTTCCCGCTGGGAATGCTGGATGGGCTTGGGCAAGAAAGGAACCCCAGCTGGAAAGCAAAGAGTTATGTACTGACTAGCGAGCATGGAACAGATAGATAGTGGTCACAACGGATTCCTGCTGTGGCCACGTTTTCTTTCTCACCTCCAGCCCCGGTCCATGCAACTCAGTCTCTGCGATGCTACTCACTCCCTTCGTTACCTAGTCTCCTTAAGGTCTGTTCAATGTTGTCTCTTGGGTGAAAAGAGAGATTTCCCCAAGAGCAAAATATTTACCCATCTGGGATCCCACTCAAAGCAGTGCAATACAAATTATCTATTTATAGATCTGCATTCCACTTTACCTATTTAGACTTCAGTATGCAGTTTCAGGCTATGAGCTCAACAGACTGCTTTTTGTTTTTCTCCATAGTTTGCTTTGTCTTAAGTCTTTTTTTTTTCTTTTTTGCACATTTATACGTGCAAACATAATTTCTAGTGGAACTGTTGATATGGTTGACAAAGTTATTTTTAGTCCACACGAAATTTCTGGTGGAACTGTTGACATAGTTATTTTTAGTAGTTCCAGGGTATTTTTTTTATAATGTTGATATGTTATGATCTGGACTAATTCGTGTTTTTTATGATCCTTCCCCTTTTGTAGGTATGTATCACTTACTCTTACCCATATTCTCCATTCTCATTCTCTTCTGCCCCTTACCACCATTCTGGGTGTTTAATATGGATCCTCTGTATGCATTCTTGCAAAATGTTCATTATTTTGAGTGTGTGCATCTTTCTTATGCAAATAGCATTGTTTTGTACACTTAATGATGTTTAAAAGAATATTTTCAAATCAGCTCAATGCTGTAAAGATCTATCCATGTTGCTACGTACATCTAGTCCATTGTTTCTAATGCTGTATAATGCTCCAGGATGCCTCCAAGTTCCTGCCACCACATGTCCCTTACAGACCCATGTGGGAACGTTTTCCAGGTATGTATCCAGAAGGAAAATGTAGGGCATGTATATTCCAATCTGACAAAGACTTGGTAGAGTGCTCCCGCAATGGCACACCAGTATCCACCCGACCAGCACTGCCGAACACTCCTCTGTGCGCACGGGGCCCACGGAAGAGCTAGTTAAGCTGGATTCTAAGCAGGTCAGGGTAATGAAAGGATTTTGTAACACTTGGCATTATCCAGTCTAATAGGTATTAAGTAATATCTCAGTGTCTTATTTGCATTTCTCTAATATCTAATGTCTTTGAACATCTCTACATATTTGTCAGCCAGGCTACCCTCCAGTGTTCAGGCAATCTCAGTAATAGGACCTGGGTTGTCATTTTTTGTTACACAGTGGCTCCTTAATTTTTATTGTGGTAAAATACACATAATATTTACAGTGCAATTACTTTAAAGCATACAATCTATGGCATTAAGTACATCCACGATGTTGGGCAGCCATCACCATTACCTTGTTCTAGAAATTTTTCATAACCTCAAAAGAAAATTCCATGCCCATGAAGGAGTTTCTCCTCATTCCTTCTCCTTCTAGCTCCTGGCAACGACAAATCTGCTTTCTGTCTGTATGGATCTGCCTGTTCTGGATAGTTATACAAATGATATCATACAATATGTGACCTTTGGTGGTTGGCTTTTTCCTTTGCATAATGTTTTCAAGATACATGTGTGTTGTAGCGTATTTCATGTTGTACCAGTACTTCATTCCTTTTATGGCTCAATAATATTCACTGTATAGATAGACTCATTTTGTTTCTCCACTAATGAACATTTGGATTACAGTCCACCTTTCAGCTATTGTGAACAAAGCTGCTATGAACATTCCCATACAAGTTTTTGTTTGAACCCGTTTTCAGTTCTGCTGGGCTATATGGTGATTCTGCTAACTTATTAAGGAACTGCTGACCTGTTTCCCATAGCAGCTGAACCATTCGATTTTCCCACCAACAAGGATGAGAGTTCTAATTTTTCTACAACCTTGTCAAGACTTGTTATTTTGATTTGTTTGCTATTGTCTTCAAATTGGCACATTTAATTTTTTTGTTTCATAAAAATTTAAATCACTCAATTTATGTAAGCTAACTAAACTAAATTGTTTGTTTTAATTATGGTCATGCTAGTTGGTATAAAGTTGTACCTCATCATGGTTTTGATTTGCATTTCCCTAACAACTAATGTCACTGAGGATCTTTTTATGTGCTTGTGGGCTATTTGTATATCTTATCTGAAGAAATATCTATTCAAGTCCTTTGCTTATTTTTAAATTGGGTTGTTTGTCTTATTGTTGTTGAGTGGTAAAACTCTTTATATACTCTGGATACCAGACCCTTATCAGGGTTTACAAAAAATTTTTCCCATTCTGTAGGTGGTTCAAATAATTTTTTTTAGAAAGTTTGATTTAATTTGTTCCTTCTTATACAAGTCACACTTATATTTCCCTGTTTGTGAATAATTTATGTAGATCCTGTGCCATTTATCTCTTGGAATTGTAGTATTTTCTTTGTTAAGTGCCGCTCTTTGGCTTTTGAAGTCTACTTTGCCTATTTTGCCAGTTTTTTTTTTAGACTCTTTGTTTGCAGTAGATATCAATGTGATTACCATTTCTTGAGCACTTTCCCATGGGCAGAAGCTGTGCCGAGCACTTGACAGGCACGATGACAAGGTGGAAGGACTCCATGGCACCCAGTCTTCAGAGCCCTGAGCTCTACAACAACCCAAGCAGGCAGCCTCCCTCTTCTTCCTCTACAGCTCCCCCAGCACAGCACAGCACAGGGAGGCGGTGGTCTCAGAGACCAGAGAAGGGGTCGTTCGCATTCTCCACTTACTTTGTTCCTCAGCCAGCCCTCCTTACGCTGGTATAAATATCTTTCCTGGGTCTGCCTGTGGCTGCAGCAGAAGTAAGGAACACCTCCTGTCTCCCCAGCCCCAACACACAAACACGTACACATCCAGGGTCAGGACACCAACCGTCGTCGTCGCTGTGAGTCCTGCGGGCAGGACTGAAGCTCCAGCAGAGTCTCCCCAGCGGAGCTCTGGTTGTCGGGGAGACTCTGCTGGTCCTCCTCTGCAGAGCCGTGAATGTTTTAGGGCTCTCCATTTCATAGCGGCAACTAGGGTGTCTAAGTTCTTTCCCTTGTGAACTTGGTATCATATGTCTGATGGCCTCTCCTAAACTTTGCTCCTTAAACATCTTGAAAAGTTGATCCTAGAGAATAAGAACTCCATTCACCCATCACAATACTTCCTTTTTTTTCATTTATATGTTCCTAAAACACACTATATTCATTCTTAACAAGCTGAAAAATCGTGCCCATGTTAACACTTGGGTCCTCAATCTGATGGCTCACATACTAGTTAAGGACTCTGCTATCCTGAACAGCAACACCTTTGTATGATTAGCCTTGGTAACAAAAAATGTAAAAACAAGCATAAAGAATCATTGTGTTAGACTCAATTAAGTTTTGCTCTGCCAAAGGAAATCTCTTCATCACTAACAGCCTATGTAACAGTTAGTTAAGCTGGATTCTAAACAGGGAAGAGTAAAGAAATGATTTGCAAATAAAATTTCAAAAGGCTCCTTTTCAAGGCAGCCTAAAACACACTTTCCTTCCCCATCCCATTTTCTCTGAACCCATCCACTAACGTGCCAGGCTGAAAAAAGCAAGATAGCTGGTCAAGGATGAGGTTAAGGGAAAGTCCTACATGACGTTTCTCTTCCAAAGACAGACTTGCAAATTAAAAATATACCTGCTTGCTTGGTGGTGACAAATGGGGACCTTTGTCTTGGTTTCCATGAGTAGACACGGAAGCCATAATGACTTCGTCTTTGCTTCTCTTCTAGAATGTATTCCGCCTCCTCAGATGATGTCTAAGGAAAGCAGAGGAGAGTTACTAGGCTATGACTGAGTGTTTGTATCTACCTTAAAAACACCCTTAGCATCAACTCATCTATTTGGAAAACTTATTTTCATTTTGTCGTTAGTCTTAATCTCCAACATCCCACAAACTCAGTTTCTAATGCTCTTTTCCCACCAACACACACCAGTTAACTCACTAATGGTGACAGATCAGGTTTAGAGTGGAGTGAAATGTCATACTATACACAGTGAAATGTTTTTCTACCTATAAATTGTGTCCTAAAAAAGTTTCAACTCATTACAAGGTCATGAATTACACAAATATTTACTTAATGTCTATTATGTGCCAGGCCAGGGCATACAAAGAAGATAAGGTAAAATTAGTAGTAAAAATTCACCCCTCAAAGGGGAAGATAGACAAGTCAGCAGTTACTGTAACATACAAAGAGCTCTCCTATAGGTATGCACAGCGTGCTAAATGGGGATAAAAGTTCTGTTCTCTCTGGTCAGGCCTGAACATACCAAAGGCTAAGACATTTGAGCTTTCAAGAGGGTCTATACAGGGTAGATGGACTCCAGGGGCAGGGAGACCAGCTTGGAAGGTGTAATAGTCCAGGCAAGGAACTGAAGAAACATGAACCAAGACCCTGGGGGGAAGAATTTTAGTTTGTAAATACTGAATTTGGGTGCCCGTGGGGGAATATGTTGTAATTGGTCAGTAGGGATTAGAATATTTGAGAGTTTGGGTCTGGAGCTACAGATTAGAGGAAGGCTGGAAAGATGATTTTAGGAGTTGTCACCTCAGACATGACAGACAAAGCAAGAAAGATGAACAAAATTGTCTAAAAAGGGTACTGGAGAATGTGAACATGGAAGTCAAGGGAATAGCAGCAAGAGAAGAAATGAAAAAAAAAAACCAGGTCAAGGAAATAACTGAGAAGGAATAGCTGATACAAAGGGGAGGGAGCTTCTGAAGGGGTCACATGGCTCAGAAGTGATTTGGCCATGAGGGTCATAGTCATGTGCACCCCCAAACACACACACCCCATCCCCACCCCTGGACTCCATGACTACCATGGATTTCCCTGCAAAATGAACATCTTATCACACACAGTTCTGTTCCCACTGAACTACCAGGCATTAGGAGCTAAGGGGACCCTTACCTGGAACAGGTCTCACCTGAGGTGCTTAATGCTCCTGTAGAGGCAGCGTGATGGCCTGCAGTGGAAGGTCCTGGAACTCAACCTGAGTTCACATCTTCACTCTACTCCTTGCAAGCCCTGTGCTTAGGGGCAAGTGACTTTATAGGTTTGTACCTCAGCTTTCTTACCTGTTAAGTGGGGGCAATGGACACAGCCACCTTGAGGGGCTGTTGCAAGGACGAGGAATGAAAAGAGAGGTTCATAAAGCCCAGCTCAGCACCCAGCACACAGGCAGTGTGGGAGCAGCAAAGGGCAGCTGTCTGTGTGGCCCTGGACACCCTATTTCTTGAGGACCCCCAGCAAATCTTTGCTGACCTAAAGCCAAATTAGATAATCTTTCCTTAGTAAAGGATAGGCCTTGCCTCAAATCAAGAAACAAAGATCCCATACATACCTCAGCTTTAGTGGCCACGTTCCCTTGCACCCAGTCACTCACCAGTCCACATCCAAGCAAGCCTTCTGATGGTCCTGCCTTCCAGGTATGGCTCCGCCTCCAAGCCCGGTCTGGTTTGGGGACCCTCAGCTTCTTCAGGCGGGGGCAAGAGTGATGACAAGTGGGCAGCGGGAGGGAGGCGCGCAGCAGTACGCCGTCTGGGGTTGAGGGGTGGCGCGCAGTTGCCCGGACAGCGGAGGGGGTCACCGCACTTTCTGGTCGCCGGGGGCCGGGGGCGGGGGGCGGCCTGTAATCAGCCTGCAGGAATCCGCTGCCGTCCCCAACCACACGCCGCCTGCAAGATCCCAACCCCACCCGCCCCCCCTCCCCCATCCCTCCCACACGCCAGCCTCGCTCGGGTGGCAGCGGGAGTCCGAACCCCGCAGGGAGGGGTCGGAAGGGGCGACTCTGGGCGCAGCTGCGAACTACCCCCGTCCCCGAGGGCCCCGTTCGTACGGCCGCACGGGAGCCCCCCCTCCTCGCCGACCCTCTCGCCGTCCCCCCGCCGACCGGCTCACCTGCGGGGGTGAGGATGGCGCGCAGCCCGCCTCCCCCGCGCGGCCGCCCCGCCCCTCGCAGCCCCGGGTCCCCGGGTCCCCGCTCCCCGCGCCCGGCGCCCGCACCTCCTTCCGAGCTTCCCTCGGCCTTCCTTCTCCTCTCGCTCCGCCCTCAGCTCGCCGCTCCTCGCTTAGTCACTCAACAAGTGCACCCAGCCCCGCCTTCCTCTGGGGCAGCAGCACCCAGGCCCGCCAGCTCCGGCCGACCCGGCCCTCTCTAGAAACCCCCACCCGCTCCAAGTCTTGTACTGTCCTGGCGCCTGGTAGATTCCACCTCCTCCTTGTCTTCCAAATAGCTCCTTTCCTCTCCCAGTTAACAGCAACGGCCATTTACTGAACACCCTCCCTGGGCCAGGTGTTTACAGTCGCTTGTCAGCAATCTTTTTTTTTTTTAACATATAACATTATATTCGTTTTAGATGCACGACACATGATTCGATGTCTGAATACACTGCACAATTATCACCACAATAAGTCTAGTTAACATCCATTTCCATACATAGTTGCCAAAAAAATTTTTTTCCCTTAGAATGAGGACTTTTAGGATCTGCTCTCTTAGCAACTTTCAAATATGCAATACAGTATTATTAACTATAGTCATCATGCTGTGCAATACTTCCCCATGACTCATTTATTTTATAACCGGAAGTTTGTACCTTTTGACGACCTCCACCCATTTTTGCCCACCCCAGTGCAATCCATTTTACACCCTTTGGCTTGAGTACTATCATCTCATGGACTAGGTAGCTGAGTTGGTGCGCAAGGGCATCCTGGGGCTCTGGGGTCAAAGCCAAGCTGTTCTGGTTCCCAAGCCCTCTTTTTCCATTGCCTCTCCCCTCGCCTCGCCGGCCATTCCCAACTCCTGACACATGGGGGAAGCCGCTGGATGTCTTTATTACCTGTATCGCTCACCCTTAGCTCAGCTAAGACTCTTCCCTGGAGACGCCAGGCTTGCGGAGTGTGTTGAGTTGGAAGAGAGGTTGTGGATCAGGTGGAAGGCCTTATTATTTCTCACCTTTTCTTACTGTCCTAATTGGTCTGTGTGCCCCTGCGCTCGGCCCCCTGTTGGCCCCTCCTCCAGTCTCCCGGGCCTCCTTCCTCTTGGTCCTGTGCACCCAGCTCTTGTCACCTGAGGCCTGAAACCCTGCCCAGAATCCCCTCCCCTCAGTCTTGTCCTGGCTTTTTCCTGCTCATCCTCCTCAGACTTGTCCTCCTTGACCTGCATTGACTCCCACCCTGCCTAAAGTAGGTCTCCTTCTTCTCTTTGGTAGCAGGAAGTCCTGTTTTCTTTCATCCCACTTATCATGACTTGTGATTAGATGGTTATCAGTGTATTTGTTTGTTCCCAGCCTGTTTCCCCGGCTTCAGTGTCATCTTCACGAGATATAGAACTCGTTGTCTATTTGGGCCGCTGCATACTCAGCACCGCGGATGCAGGGGCGCCAACAGGTGGCTGCTGGGCATGAATGAATGAGCCTGGGCTAAGGTTGTCTGGCCAGACACTGCTATTTTGCTGTGTCCTTTTTCCTCAGTACATCCCCCAGCCTATGTTCCTCCATGTGATGCACCAGTTCTTTTTTCCCCTCTTCTCCAAATTAAGGGGATATAGTTCAATTGCTAATTTTCATTGTGTTACCAGAAGTCACAAATAGCCCTATGGTATGAAATATTTGTGGTCTGAAAGGCACAGCTTTCTAATTGGTTTTGTGATAAAACTGAACAGCCCTTCATTATATCCAAGTCTACCTTCCAACAAATACCCTAAGGGCATGTGTCTGTTAACAACTTGCTACAATAAAGTCTATGTTCCTGCCCCCATTTCCACTTTTTGCCAGAATGTTTCAGTTACTTGGCCTACAAAACCAGATGTTACCAATATGTGATGTGCCCTGATAATATGAATTTATCACTTGGCATTTGTTGGAGGAATCTAATGTGCCCACATATTGTTCTAGGCACTTTCAGAGATAAAAGACATGGGTCCTTCCCACAAAGGATTTATCACTTCTCAAAGAATTAGAATAAAATAAAACATACTTGGCCCTAGAAAAATGTAACATTGATCAGGGCCTTTTGCAGTCTTTGCTTGAGCATCCTACAGGGCCTCAGGATGGTGACTACAAAGTTGATTATTGCTGGCTAATGCTATGAAAAATGTGGCTGATTTGGAAAGTGCCAAAATGTTCATGGCAGGCTCAAGCTTGAACAATTTCCACAACCCTGCACTGCCCTTAGGCAAGATCCAAATGCATTAGCAGGGCGTTGCATGATTCAGCTCCTGTCTGACCTCCAGTACATCTCTCTGACGCTCTCCAGGGGCCTACAGAGTGGCTGTTTTCCCTTCTGTTTTCCCGCACCGTTCTCAGGTGCGGGAGCTTCAGCGTTCCTCTGCTTCAGCCTCTCTCTCATTCCTAAAGGTGGACCTACGGGGTCATGCCCTGCGGGCAGCCCTGCCCAACTCCAGTTTCCCTTCCACCTGCTGTGCTCCCCTTGCACTCTACAATGATACCTATTATGCGTATGTGTGTAAATTGATGTATATTTTTATGCATATATATGTATATAAGTTTAATATTCATAACTAACATCTGTTGAACACTATGTGCCAGTTACTCTTCTGGTCTTTCTTCACCTTTTCACTCCATCCCTACAGCAGTCCCTTAAGGGAGGTGCTAGTAACTTAACTCAGTCACATAAGACCCTGGAGCCTAGTGCTCACAACAGTGCCACTCTGATGTCCCTGGGTTGTTATCACACTGTGTTACCACCACTGCTGCCATCCATTGTCACAGCCTCTTGACTATGAGCTCTTTGAAGGCAGGGACTGATCTTGTTCAGTAAGTGGAACACTGTTTGCCCTCAGGAGTGAATAAATGAATTTAACGAGGCACAGAATAAAAAATGTTTAATACCTGGTTCTTTATTTCACGGGGCTCACAGTCTCTTTTTCTCCTTTTTGTCCCCTTCCTTCCTTCACAAAATGGTTGTGGGGCCTTTTGAACAACCTGAAAAAGTTACTATTATTCCAACTTTACCTATAAGAAATATGAAGCCCAGAGAAGTTAAGTAAAATGGCCAAGGTCATAGCTGGGAGCTGGCCCACCAGGACACAGACCTTAGTGGGCTGGCTCCATCCTCAGGCTCCCAACCACTGTTCAAGTGTGTCTCTAGATATCCTGTTAGGCAGAAGAGACGCATGAATTGAAACACATACAGAAAGACAGACACAAAACAAGAAACAGGTCCAGAAGCTCAGGCAGCAAGGGAGGGAGAGGGACGTAGACAAGCGTTTAGTGGGGACGGGGGCAGCAGGGGGTACAAGGCAGTGTGGCTGGTGGAACACAGGTCCTAGTGGGGCAGGGGTGGAAATGGACTAAACAGAATGCAGGTAGGAATCTGGCTCAGTACCACAAGGAGCTTGGAGCTCACTCGCCACCAGCTGCTCTTCCTTACCGGGTTAAAGGGGCTCTGGCTGGTTTCTTGGTGGGGAAGTCTCCTGGTGTTTGTGGGTGGGGGAAGCATTGTGGATGACCTTGTGGTGGCCAGAGCAGCCCCCACCCTCCTTCCAGTTTTTTTGTGTCCTAGCTCTCCACTTGCCATCTGCCTAGTCTGTGAGAGGCTCTGTGAATCATAAGACCTTGTGAGTCACTCGTTCCCTCTCTCAGGAATAGATAATGTCAGATCTCACAGAAGTGGAGCAGTGGGGTTGAAATGAGGTGTTAAATGAAGATTGAGCATGGAGTCTGCTTTCCCTTGGGAGCTGGCGCTGCTGTCAGGAGAGACAGGTTGCCCAGCTCTCTGTGGGAGCTTTGGGCCATCGACCCTGGCCAGGCTGCTTTAGGTTCATCTGGATTTGATATTCAGCCTGCTAGATGTAACAAGAGGCAAAGTGGGCCCCAAAGAGCATAACTGGCCCCAAAGGGGAAACTCTGAAATCTGAAGGTAGGTGTACATCAATTTGGTTGTGTCCCCAACCTTCCTTGAGACAGGCCTATGCTTTATTTCACTCATAAATGCTGATAATAGACATTCTGAAAGTAAATTTAGTACTTTAATATTCCAGAACTGTTTTCCATAGCCTATGACATGTGAAGGCCTTCGAGTGCAAAAAGCAGGTAGAGTATGTGTCAAGCAGAAGCCAGTAATACCTCATGGCAGATGTTTTAACTTTATTGCAAGGGTTCATTGTCATTTTTGTGTCCTGGGGTCTGTCCCGAGCCTCTCTCTAGAGCAGCCTCTCCACCTGGCTAGAGTCAGGGTAGGGGAAAGGGGAAAGGAAATTTGATTTTTTTGTGTGTGTGTGAAAAATAGTCACAACGGTATAAATCCAAGCACAAATTTAGCTCCTTGCAGGGCATAATTCCATTTTACTAGAGAGACTTATTAATCCAAATTTAATTGGTGGAAGTGTGGTAAGACTTACTTTTTAAGAAAAAACAGACTTTATTTTTAGAGCCATTCTGGATTCACAGCAAAATTGAGTGGAAGGTATAGAGATTTTCCATATATCCCCTTTCCTTCTCTGACCTTCCAAGCAGAGCTTCTCCCATTATCAACATCCCCCACCAGTGTGGTACATGTGTTACAATTGATGAAACTACATTGACATATCCTTATCACCCAGAGTCCCTAATTTATGTTAGGGTTCAGTCTTGGTGTTGTATACTCTATGGATTTGGACAAATGTATAATGTACATATCCATCATTACAGTATCAAAATAGTAGTTTCACTGCCCTAAAGTCCTTTGTGCTCTGCCTATTTATTCCTCTCTCCTTTCAACCCCTGGCAACCACTGACCTTTTTCTACCTCCATAGTTTTACCTTTTCCAGAACGTCATACAGTGGAATCACACAGTAGGTAGTCTTTTGGGATTACCTTCTTTCACTTGATAATATGCATTAAGGTTCCTCCATGTTTTCTCCTATGTTAATAGTTCATATTAACCTAATATTCCATTGCTTGGATGTACCACAGTTTATTTACCCATTCATCTACTGAAGGACATCTTGGTTGTTTCCAGGTTTTGGCAATGATGAACAAAGCTGCTATAAACATCCATGAGCAGGTTTTTGTGTGGACATAAGTCTGCAACTCCTTTGGGTAAATACTAAGAAGTGTGACTGCTGGGTCATATGGTAAAAGGATGTTTGCCTTTTTAAGAAACTGCTGAACTGTCTTTCAAAGTGACTCTACCATTTTGCATTCCCACCAGCAATGAATGAGATTCCTTTTGCTCTATATACCTTGTTGACATCTAGTGCTGTCAGTGACGATTTATTTTTGAGAAGAAATTTCTAGAATCCCTTCATAACCCTAGTTAACCCTCCTTACCTGATTCACTGTCCTCAGAATTAAGGAGACAGGTGTCAGCATACTAGTGGCCCACTTCTGAAGAGCTGCTGGAGCCTTAGCTGCACCTGTTTCCAGTTACCCTCTCCGTGGACCCTCCCAGGGCACCTTCACCCCTTATCCACCTTTTCTCCACCCTCAGCCACTGATGCCCGGCAGCGGCAAGCTCATACCCTTCCGTTCTCACTGGAGATATCCGTAGAGCCTGGGGATTTAGGGCATGGACTGGAGTCGGAGTGCCTAGGCTCCAACACAGTCCCACTGTGTATGTATTGCCATATAGGTGTGTGGAACAGTACCTGGCATGTGGGTAATGCATGCTGTTTGAGTGTTAACAACCACTTTGAGGCAGGAGGTAACCAGTGGGTAGATAGAACAGGACGTGTTGCCCTAGCAGAGCTTGGCCAAGTGGGATGCTGACATTAGGCATTGTGTTCAGCCGGCCAAGCGGGACACATAAGAAACCACTCTCTCCAACAGCCAGCCTGAGAAACAAGGGGAGTTTCTGACTCCAGCCCAGCCCCAGCAACAAGTCCTAGGCCACCAGGTGGACTTCCTCCTTTCCAGCACTTATAATCCCCTAGACACTGGAGCCCAAATGGCTTCCTTCCTTGGAGCCCCTCCTGACTAGTGGGATGCCTATTCTTTCCACTCATTAAAAGCTTTGCTGGTTGCTCTGTGCTCTTGTCTATTGGCTTCATTCTTCACCACCTCCAGGACACAATCCTGGGAAAAACAGCATCTCAGCGGGTAACAACTTCCTCCAGAAAAACTCACCATAGCCTCTGGGGCAGGGATTCCTCCTGTGTGCTGTATTTTAATAGCCTCTTTATTAGCCTCTCTTCCAAGATGTGAGATCCCTAGTGGCAGGAACTATCTTTTTCACCTTCAGGTCTGTGGCCAGAAAACTACCTTCAGATATTAATTTTCATTTTGTACTTATTTAGCAGCCTGAACCAACAGTAGCTATTCTCCTGTCTCCATTTCCAGAGAGCCTTAGAGGGTGCCCTTACCTCCAGGATTGTCAATGCCTTTTGCTTTATAGGGATAGAAGGAGCATTCACAAATAAAGCATGGAACAGGCATTACAACAGCACTCCCATGTAGAATTTTGTTGCTGGAAAAAAAGCCCCAGCTGAAAGAGGAAAACAATGGAACAATCCTATAGGGAAGATTTGGAGCTTTTTGAAAGAGGGGGAAGGGAGCAGAGGTGTGCAGGCGCCAGAGAAGTGGAGATCAGCGCATCTCTCTCTCCTACAGCTCTGGTCTGTGGGAGACCTCATAGCAAAAAAGCTGCAGGACACCCGGAGGGGGAGGTTCACTAAACATTTAGCTTCCCAGCCTTCAAAAGATCTGGGTGAACCACTGCTTTCAAGGGACCATGTGGATTTTGACAGTGAACATCTCAATAGTGGCGAGAAGGACAGAGGGCCTTGGAAAATGTTCTGGACTGTGCCAGATCCTCAGATCCTCTCTCCCCACCCTAAGGAGAAGGGTTACCTCCCCACCCTGCCCCCACCAAATTCATGAGATTGAATTTCTTGAGTGGATGGGTGCTCTGAATTTTGAGTCAAAAAGGAATATGGCTTTTTTTGAACCCTAGTGAAATGAGCTAAAACTCACACCTGCGACATGTCCATGAACCTGGCAAAAGTAGGCACATAGAATATTTGAAGAGTAAATGAATTCAGAAGTATCTTAACAATGTATCCAATCTATTTTAATAATACTACAGAAACAGCTTTTGTTTACCTACCTCAAATAAAGGTTTTCCAGAGCTATTTCCTGAGCATTTAAAGCACATTCAAATGTCTTTGAATGAAAATGCAAAAGATTTTCATGACTGCAAGTTAGCAAGAGGTTGAATTTAATACTCACCAGTCTTACACTGTTGGTTGCCTAAGCAACCAAGCCTGGAAAGTAAAGCTGCTTTACACTTTGACTTTGCACCTAATATCATTAGAGCCTGTTAGACAAAAACCAAAAATCCTACTTTGCATATTGGCATCCATTACAAAGCTGCCTTGTACCTACAATTCCTAGTTCTTGCTCAGAATGAAAGTGGTTTAGGCTGTTCTTTTTTGTATTCCAGATTACTGTGGTCATTCATCCAGGGATGACTCAAATGAATTAAACCTAGAGATAATACCAAAAAATGTTTTAGTCATTAGTTTCTGCTCATTCCCCTCTTCAGTCTTCAGAGACTTCTTTCTAGGCTGATCTAACAGCCGGCAGACCTGCGTTATTTTCTTGCCTTTCTGTGTATCAGAAAAGTAATCTAGCAGACAGATAATAAATGGAAAAAATAGGATAAATTAAACACTCTGACAAAGCACTCAGGCAAATGTCAAAGGTGAGACATTCCACCGTCCTGGATTCTCAGGAAATCAGAACCATAAAAACAAGCTGTTACACAAGAAATTCAAGGGATCCAACCACTGATGCAACATGTGGTTCTATATTAGATCATAGTTTGAAAATAATTTTGAACAGCTACAAGATCTATTTTGGGGACAATTATGGATATTGGAATATGATGGGTCATAGATGATATTAAAATTTACTAAGATGATTAATATTGCAGCTTGTTAGGTGTGTAAGTATTTATTTTGGTTACATTGGATGTCCTTATTTTTTTGCATTGCATACTGAACTATTTAGGGGTGAAATGTCATGATATCTGTAATGTAAATTAGTTTAAAAAGCTTTTTCTTTTTTTAAATTGAACAATAGTTAACATAATATTATAATAGTTTAGGTGTACAACATAGTGATTCAGCATTTACATACATTACAAAATGCTCACCAAGATAAGTGTAGTTACTATCTGTCACCACACAAAGTTGTTATAATATTATTGACTATATTCCCCATGCTGTACATTTTATTCCCGTGATTTATTTGATGACTGTAAATCTGTACCTCTTTTTCCCGTTCACCTATCTCATCTACCTCTTTACCATCCTCCCCTGTGGCAACCACCAGTTTGTATTTATGAATCTGTTCCTGGGTTTCTGTTTGTTAGTTTATTTGTTATGGTTTTTAGATTCCACATGTAAGTGGAATCTTATGGTATTTGCCTTTCTCTGTCTGACTTATTTCGCATAGCATAATGCCCACTAGGTCTATCCATGTTGTTGCAAGTGGTGGGATTTTATTATTTATAGTTGAGTAATATTCCATTATATATATGTACCACATCTTGTTTATCCATTCATCTATTGATGGACACTTAGGTTGCTTTCATATATTGGCTATATATAATGCTGCAATAAACATAGGGGTCTGCATATCTTTTTCAATTAATGTTTTTTTTTTTAGTAAATACCCAGAAGTGGAATTACTGAGCTGTATGGTATTTCTATTTTTAATTTTTTGAGCACCTTCATTTTCCATAGTGGCTGCACCAATTTACATTCCCTAAAAAATGTTATAAGTAAAATATTTCAGCATAAAAAAATAATTTGAGTGCAAAAGAATAAAATCTGAAAGATTTAAATTATATCTCACATGAAGTCCTTATTACTTGACTCAATTAACTTCAAAGTCTGCTTTGCTGCAGTCCAGGGGTACATGGGTAGGGAAAGTACAAGGAATCTGGTGTATGTTTTGCCATTTAGTAGCTGCGTGATCTTAGTTAAGGTACTTTTCCTCTCGGTAACTCAGTTTCCCCAACTGTAAATAGGCATAATATTAGTAAACCTACTGCATAGGGTAATTGTGAGGTTAAATGAGTTACTATATATAAACCCATTAAAACAATTCCTGGCACAAAGTAATTGCTAAATAAGTGCTAGCTGTTCTTGTTCTTGTTTTGTTTTGTATCTTGGAGTATGACCCAGAAGATGCTGGGTTGGCATAACCTGATATAATCAGTACAGCTTCCTGGACCTTCTGGTATGTGGTTAGTAGCCTTGGGAGCCCCATATTCCTGCAGGCCCATCTTTGAGTTCCTCCTTACACTACACTGAGAAATGAGAAATGTCCCAACCAATGTTTTGGGCTGGTGAACAGTGATGAAGCCTAAAAACATTTTTTCTCGCTGGTTGTGATGGGGCTTTTGAAGTAGTGTCCTATTAAAAATCCAAAGTTTAAAGTGTAATTAAAATGATAGGTAAGTAAAGATACTCCTAGACCTGGAATCTTCTGACACAAAGATTAAACTTCTTTATTAGGAATGCTGGGACTCATCTTTTCCCTAAAACAATTAGCAAAAAAAAATGTGAGGTTAATTTTATGCATAACTTGACAAGCCATGGGTGCCCAGGCTAAACATAATCTCTGGGATTCAGTGAACTGTCCTCTAGATGTGAATGGGCATCATCCAATCCACTGAGGGCCTGAAGAGAACAACAGTGTAGAGGAAGGGCGGATTCGCCTCGCTGGTTGAGCTGGGGTGTCTCATCTCATCCTCCCTCGCCCCTGGATTGGAACTTACACCATTGGCTCCCCTGGTTCTCAGACCTTTGGACTCAGGGCTGCGTCCCACCACCAGCTCTCCTGGGTCTGCAGCTTGCCGGTGGCACATCGCAGGTCTTCACTGCCTCTGCAATCGCATGAACCATAATAATGAGCCTTATAATAAATCTCACAAATAATGTATATATGCATACACTTAACTAATACACAATAAAAGTTTATCTTTGTCATTAACAAAATAGAAAGAGGGTAAATATAATTTTATAATGATGTTTTGGGTTTTCTGTTAGATAAATACTACACTTCGATTAATATTCTGAACACTTTATGTCAATTTTGCATTTTTAGGTACAGCTTAGTAACTTTTCTTTCCCTTCCTCTTTGTCCTAATAAACACAGAGAACTTTTGAGGTTTAGAAGTTATAAGGACTTTCTGTGTTTCAACAACACATTTGTTTTAGATTCTAGAGTAAAATGAAATCTTCCAGATTAAGTGGTTATGTATCAGATAAAGTCCTAAATGGTTAGGTTAAAGTTTATAGTCACAAAAAAATTATGAATATCATTTACCTTGCAAGGTCTAAAACTTCCAAACTAATAGCTTCAGAGATGAGAACATTAATTCTTATGCTGTTACCATATCATAATGTCATACAAGCAAACATCATTTAAAATACATACATAAAAACAATTTGAACTCCTCTGATGATGAATGGTAAGTACCATGCTAAAGGCCTTTACACAAGATGTCTCATTCACTTCTCACAACAGCCCAACGGCTTTTGTGCCCCATGTCCTGAGAGGGAACTGAAACCCTGACAGGCTAAAAACTGACCCAAGGTCACAGTGACAGCTGTGACAAGGACAGGATTGAAATTTAGAACCAGTGATTAATTGTTCAGCCAGCCAGTAATTATGGGGGGTGAGCAAGGGTCAGGCTCAGCTCTGGGCTCTGGAGATTCTGTGCGTAAAACGTCAGAATCCCTGCTGGAAGTACTGGGAACACAGGGGAATTGGCAGGTAGTGGGAACTACTTCCCTGAGTAGGCAACACCCTAGCCTGCTGTTCTAGAAGGTTATCCCTGGAAGTTCATTTGTTTTTCCTGAAAGAAAAAGACCCCTATACTCATCTGAAGCCTCTGAAGAGTGGAGGTCTGGACTGAAGCTGGACTCTTCCAGAAAAACAACTCTCTTTGAAGTAGCTACTTCCTTTAAAAACCAGACAAATAGACGAACAGTCAACACTCACACACATGCACACACCCCACACTAACCCTCCCACCACACTCTCACACAGACACATGCACACACCCTACATCACACTCACACACACAAACACAAGTCTCTCCCTCTACATTTTTTAAAGTTTCATCCACTCCAGGCAAACTTTGCAGACATGGGGGCAATACTTTTTACAATTCAAGATTATCAGGCCAGTGGATTATTTTTCTCCATTATAGGTTCCTGGTTGTGATAACTTCCATACATCCCACTAAAAAAGGATACCACAGTGCATTTCCATAATGCTGTGACCTGCATTTGCTGGGAGAGCCTGTAGCTCATCTGGCAAGGCTTCTGCTCCCTTTGCCAGCCAGTTGCCCTTGTGTTGCAATGCCCGACAAGCTCTACGAAGGCCTGCCCTCCTAGGCAGCACAAAGCAAGCACACAGAAGCACCTGGGGCTACAGGCACCCAAGCCATGTAGCTGGCAGCTCACAGTTGCTGCTTGTTAGGTTATCACAGGCAAACAGTTCTCAGTAAGGAATTTTTAAACAGTTGACATTTCCCCATAGACAGTTTCTGTATCTCCCTAAACTCTCTCTAATTTAAAATGTAGCATTAGCTTTTCATATTGACAAGCATTGGGGTAAACAAAGAAATTGGATGCCTCCCACAGTAATTATGGATATGTAGACTAAAAGATCATTACTATTATGCTATCCATATTTATAATGTGAATAAATTATTTCTATTTTCAAACATGATTATTATTTATTTGGATCCTATTTTACAGCCTTCATCCATACATATTGCATTATAGGAAGTGAGAATCTTGAAATAAGAATTACCTCTCCTCTGGATTTCTGAAGAGCACACTCATTTCTTTTCCCGTCGCTGAGAAAAAGCGCATGATTCAAAGTAACATAGGACTTTTAAAAAGCAATGCCTAGGAGGCTTGAGCTGTGCATAAATAATTAAAAATAGACATCATTAGGTCTTGGAGTTTATATTCACATAAAAAATTATCTGGTACTCTTGAGTTTTAGGACAGTAAAAAGCTAAGTCTCCCTGAACAGAGAGATTTAGCTAACTATAACACCGTGTACTTAGATGAAAAATTTCAGTATGATGTATGAAGACTACAGTGAGAGTTGATGAGGCCCTCATTTTACATCACTTAGAGAAATGATTGCTGTCTTCTCCTTGAACACTTCATTTTCTTCCATCCATTTTGTAATCTTGGTTGTGAAATAAACATGTATGTTATATTTTTGTTTCTCATTGTTGGTAGGGGTTTTTCTTTCCTTTCTTTGGTAGCAGGGACAATTTGATGGCAAGCTGAAAAACAGGTCATTGGGGAAATAAAAGCTTTGGACTGAGAAGAAAGACAACAGAGTTTCCAGTTCTGGTTCTGGGTAACCTGCCTACATTTCTGTTATAGGACAAAATATTCCACCAACCACCGGGCCTCAGTTGCATTGTCTGTAAAAAGAAGGGCAGTAGACCAGACTATCTTTAAGTTTCACTTTTGGCTGCAAAATTCTATGATTTAAATCTAGTGCTAGCTATAAGCAATTAAGAAGCAAAATGGTAGCTGTAAGAGACTAATGCATATTTTTGAACACCAGATTCATAAAGCAAAAATGTAATTGAAGTTTGGCTCAAGAATAGTTCAATTGCCGTGGGGTGGTACTGTTGTAAGTATAATGTCATTCCCCACTCTTAATGTTTCCTTTTATTTGAAGGGCTATCCATCAGATGACACTCCTGGTCTCTCTCTCTGCACTATCACCCACTCACTCGGCTCACTCTTTCCTTGAGGAGAGGCGGTGACTTGTCTACCTGGTGAGTTCAGAGGGAGAATCCGGATAGAGTAACCAACTCTTCCCACTGGAGTCCTCTCAGGAGCTGGTGTACCTGCAGAGAATGTGTGTCCTGCTCTGTTCCTTCCTGTATAGGTTTACAGGGCCAAGGCCCTGCCTGGGGAGGTCTGTAGTCACCCATGGGTGAGTTTGTCTAGTTTCAGGGTTTAGTTTTAGGAAAATGTTTGGCTCTTAAATCCAAGGCAGATTCTGCAATATCAGCTTTCTTAGCAGGAAACATGATATTTTGATTTCCTTGTGTCTTTTATTTTTTTGGTCTACTTCTCAAGTAGTTCAGAACTTGGATGAGGTGCTATTTTGGGGGTCCCCTGAAGTCCCAATGAGCAGTACTAAATTTAATAACAAATGACCTTGACCATGAACTTTATGCTTAAATTCATATAGGTCTTCTCTGAGGCTCAACTGTCTCTGGTAAGGCCTTAACAACATTGCTGCTGATTGGTCTGGAATTCAGAAAGCCAGAGCTCATCATCTTAGCCAATGATGACACAGCTGCATGGCACTCATGGTTTCTAAAATGAAAGCCAAATATTTAAACAATCACCATGTGCTTTAAATATATTCCATCCAACTTCTAAGAGAGCTAAACTGAGATGGGAAGGAAGAAGGAAGAGGTGGGGTGATGGGTGAAATAGGTGAAGGGCATAAATAGGTATAAACTTCCAATTATCAAATAAATAAGTCATGGGGATGAAAAGCACAGCAGAGGGAATATAGTCAATAATATTGTATTAACTTTGTATAGTGACAGATGGTAACTATACCTATCAGGGTGAGCATTTCATAATGTATATACTTGTTAAATCACTATGTTATACACTTGAAACTAATGTAATATTGTATATCAATACACTATACTTCAATTTTTTAAAAAAGCATTAAAAAGAAAGTTGGGAAGAAACATGTTCTTGTTACATGACTCTGGATGTTGGAAATTTGAATACCCAACCTACCCTTATTACAATGTGTTTTCCCCTTGAATCCAGAAAGAAGAATTTGAGGTCACAGAAGCTCTGTAATTTAATAAATATTTGAGGGCCTACTGATGTGCCTGTATTTCTCTAGGTACTAGGGGATACAGCAAGAGACTGAACAGACAAAAATTCATATCCTCAAGGAGCTTGTATTTTAGTAGGAGAAGACATGCAATTACCAAGATAATAAGTAAATAATGTAAATAAATAAATCAGTGTGATAATTCAGTGGAGTGACAGTGTCTGGAGTCAAGCAGCCTGGGGTCAAGGCTCCATCACAAGCTGTATGACTTTTGGGGAAGTTCTTAACCTCTCTGTGCCTCAGTTTCCTCACCACTAAAGTGGGGTTAATAAAACTTTGTGTTTGTCATAAGGTTTGCATTTCATGAATGTTAAGCAGTTATAGCAGTTTCTGGCACACTTAAAGCATGATAAAAGCACAAACTACTATTATAATGAATGGTGCTAAGACAAGAAAGGGAGAAAGGGAGTGTTGAGTGGGTTTATAATTTTTAATGAGTGGTAATATAGATAAAGTGAAGGTTCCTATGGTCAGGTTCTCACCTGGCCCTGGATGGCTTGCTCACTACACAAGTATGGACAATAGGTTGTTATTGACTCTATATAAAGAGCTCCGCCCAGTACTCTGGGCAACACGGTGGCAGGGCTGCAGGAGAGCAGAGGACAGGGAGTGAGAGGCCCAGGGTTCTAGGAACTTCAAGAGGGCAGTGTGGCTGCAGAGGAGAATGCAAAGAGAGGGCTCGTAGATTGGGACTCCTTAGCAGAAGACAGAGGCTAAGGCAGGGATACGGGTACCTATGACTTACTGAGGACGTGCTCTCAGGAAAAAGGGAGAGAGGAAAGCAGAAGAGAGTGTGTGAAAGAACTATGTGACAATGTGGCCTCAGCAGGTCCAGCCAGGCCCCTGGGGAGCTCTGGGGCATGACCTGCACCACAGGCGTGTCTCCACTTGAGTGAGACAAGTAGGCTGGTCTTTTGTAGCCTCATTTCAGTGAGTCATTGGCAGTGAGATGCAGGGTGAGATGTTTTTTTAGCCCCTTCAGCTGTTATAAGAAAACCACAGACAGGGTGTGGATAAAATGAGAGTTCCTGTGGCCAGAATTCTCACCTGGCCCTGGTTGGCTGGTTCATTGTACAGGTGTGGACAATGTGTTGGTGTTGACTCTATATAAAGAGCTTTGCCCAGTGCTCTGGGGGACACGGTGGTAGAGCTGCGAGGCTGCAGGAGAGCAGAACAGAGGCTGTGCTGGCAGCGCTGAAAACAGAGGCCCAGAGGCAGAGACCGAGACTGGCTTGCTGCATGCAGACTTGCTCTGAGTGGACAGGATTTTAGTGATTGACCTGCCACCGTGGAAATAAAGTTGGGTGCAACCCTTTCACTCAAGACCATTCTACTGTCATTTCTTTGGTCACATTGAATCCATAGTGAACTTACCTGGGGCTGAAACCCATTGGCAAGACACTGGGTAGCTTATAAAGAACAGAAATTTACTTCTTGCAGTTTTGCAAGCTGAGGTCAGGTGAGTCCCTCTTCTGAGTCACGGACTTCTCATTGTATCTTCACATGATGGCAGGGGCTAGGGAGAGCTTTGGGGTCCTTTACTAAGGGTGCTAATCCTATTCATGAGGGCTCCACCCTCATGACCTAATCATGCCTCAAATGCCCCACCTCCTAATACCATCACATTGGCGGG